GCCTATGGGGGCTGATCTCACTCAAAGCTCCACAGATATCTATTAGGTATGACCTGTGCACTGGAGAGAGTGAGGAACATTCGAGAATCTCTCCTGTCATGGAGCTTTTGTAGTCCACTAGGGGAGTCAGATAACAGACAGGCAGAAAATATCCTGAAACTTCACGTAGGAAGAACTACGTGACAAGCTTCTGCACCCCCGTAAGCCTCTCTGCCGACGCAGCAATCCAAATCAGATCACATCTAACCCAATTAGGAAAAGCCCAGGATTAATGGTAAAATGCTCCCGGATGATCCCTAGGGAAGAGAGACCAAAAAAACCCACTGTCTGTTTCCTGGGGGGTAGTTTAAATACCCCATGGGAGCATCTCTGGGGGAAGAGCCATGTTTGGCAGGCTTTCTGAGATAAGGTGGGGGCAGACAGATGGGGGAGGGGGATTGAGGTGGAGCTTCCACCAGGAACATTCCAGACTCTTGGGATATATGGATGCCAGGGGTTGGGGTGAAGCCTCCACCAGAACACTATGAAAAATACTTATCTGTAGCAGATACTGTGTTTGCCCCATTCGTGTCCCTTTAACACGTGATGTTCTCATGCAAGCTGGACATGCAAGAGAACCATCAATTACTGATCTGGGCGGGGGCGGGTGGACTCAGCATCTACTGGAGCCTGCTCTACTTGGGTGAAGGGCAGGTTTGGTCTGAGAGTGGAGGATTTCTCACGTAACCCTTCAGCCAATAGCTAATGTGAGCTGTAGTGTCTAGATTCCTTGCCCCTCGAGCAGGCAACTGAGCTGCCCAGAGTGTCCTAGTGTTCTGAGCTGCAGCTTTCTACAGAAGTAATTTTCTCTGAGCCTTTTCTCTTGTCCAGGTCCCCAGTTTTCCAGATCACCTCCCAGCATGTTATTTGTGCCTGTTAGAGGCTCAGCCATGGGAAAGAAAGAAAGGAAGAGTGGGCGTGGCTGGGCTGGCACCCTACCCATAGTCTTCTGGGTAGGACACACCTGTTGGTGGGTGTGATTTTCTTTTTACTGTGTATGGGCATTTTATCTGCATATATATCTGGACACCTGGTGCCCTACAAGCCAGAAGAGGTTGTTAGACTCCATGGAACTGGCTTACAGATGGTGGATGCTGGCAATCGAACCCAGGTCCTCTGCAAGATCAGCAAACATTCTCAACTGCTGAGCCATCTCTCTAGCCTCTGATGGCTGGTTTTAAACGTCAGCTCGCCACAACCTAGAATCCCGTGCTCAGAAAGCCTCCATTGAGAGCTGTTTCCATGGGGTTGACCTGGGGTATGCCTGTGGGTACTTACCTTGATTGCCAACCGATGTGGAACAAGCGGCCCTCTGTGGGTAGTAGCTTTTTAGTGGTTTGTTTTTGTTTCAGCTGGGCCCTGGACGGTGTGAGTGTGAAGAAGGCCAGCGAGCAGGCAGTGTGGTGCATTGGTCTCTCTGCTCTTGACTGTGGATGTGACTGACGGTTGCTTGAGTTGCTGCCTTGGCTGCCCTTAAACGATGAACCGTCACCTGGAAGTTTAAGCTAAAATAAACCCTCTCGAAGTTGCTTTGGTCATGGTGATTTATCACAGCCACAGAAATGACATCAGGATTGTGGGCCTTTGAGAAGAACTCTTTTCTTTGGATTGGACAGCTCTTCTGAGACTTGCCCAGATCTTTGCAGTCGGTGCACGCTTAGCCGCTGCTCACACTTTGACGGCTTGATGTTGAGTTAGAGGTCAGAATGTGACAGATTTTATCAGAATAAACCCATCTCATCTATTAAATGTTTCCCTGTTACGGCTTAGATAAGCAATGGTCCACAGCCCTCCCCCAGTCCCCACGCTTGTATTGCATGCTGGGTTCCTGGTTTGTAGCACTATTTTAGGAGGTTCTGGAAATTTCAGGAAGTAGGACCTATTTGGCAAAAGTGGTCACCCCTGGGTGATAGGCTGTTTAGAGGAACAGAGCTAATGTGTGCATATGTGTGTGTGTATGTGTGTGAGCGCACACATGTGTGTGTGTGTGTGCACGTGCATGCATATGAGCTTGCGCAAAAAGGGGATTCACTGGAATGGCTTACACGCTAGGGCTTGGGTCGTCCAACCACAGCTGTCTGTGTGCTTTGAGGCCGAGAGCGTGTCAATTCTAAGTCCACGAACCTGGATGTCTCAAGAGTTTCAATCTGCAGCTGAAGGCCTGGAGCCCTGGAAGGTTCCTGGAGAATTTCTGTTGGAGGGCCAAAGAAGTTGGATCTGACGCCAGTGAAGGATGGTGGTTGTAGCAGGTGCATTCACATCCCCTAGGGAGACGAGAAGGCAGATGGCAAGCAATGCCGCCCTCTCTCCAACCTCTTACATCTGGGATACCCACTGGACAGTGCCACCTACCTTGAGGAGCAACTTCTATGTTAGTCTTTCTGGAAATTCCCTCAGAGATCCATGGAGAGGCTCAGAGTCGATTCCAGATCCCATCGAATTAAGAATTTTCAAGATTCACTGTTATCCCGGGAAGGTGAGTAACGGAAGCTCACATCTGGTGCCCAGTCCCTTCCTCACTCTGCTGTATGTTGTGAGCTGAAGATTGTTCTCTACCACACAGGCCTTCCGCCATGTTTAACCTTAGCAGGATCCAGAAACAGGGCCAAGTAACAGTGGACTTTGGGACCTTGGGAAAGTTCCGAGGAAATAAACATTTCCTCCCCAGGCTGTCTCTGTCAGGTGTCTGTTCACGGTGAATTTGGAGTCTGACAAACACCCTTCCTCACATTCCGTAGGTGACTTCTCATTTGGGTCCTTGGGCTTGTTCCTCTTTTCCTCACCCTGTCAGTTGAAATCAGCTGCAGTTCTTTTCTTTCTAGTTATAAAAGTCATCCCCCATCTCTTTTGTATGAAAGTTTGAAGTGCAAGCCAGGCGTGAGGACCACAGCTCTAATCAGGGCAGTGGGAAGATGGGAGGCTGAAGCAGGAGAACCGTGAATCCGAGGCCTCTGAATGCAGGGGTTACAGATGTGTTTCGCCTTACATTTTAATTTTCTGTGCATGCGAGTATGTATGGTGTCTGTGCATACTTGCATGGGTGTGTGCGTGTATATGTGTGTGTGTTTGTGTGTGCACATCCAAGCAGGTGTATCCGTGCTTAGGCCAGAGGTCGGAGTCCTCAGGTGCCTTCATCACCTCCCACCTTATTTTTTGAGACAGGTTCTTTCTCCGAATGTGGCCACTTATTGACTAGACCCATTGACCAACCAGAGCCAGGGATCTGCCTGTGTCTGTCCTCAGTGCCGGGGCTGCAGGCCGGTGTTACCATGCCCCGGTTTTACGTGGGTTTTGGGGATCCCAATTCAGGCCCTCACGCTGTGCAGCAGCCACTTAAGTCACTGAACTATCTTCTCAGCCTGTGCGTGTGTGCGTGTGTGCATGTGTGGATAGCTTTGAAACAAACTATACAGAATTTTATTTATTTTTATCTAGCAGACAAACATCTATTTCTATTTGGCTATTGGAAAATATAAGTCGGAACAAAAGAAAATGTGTGGAGAAAGAATGAAGAAAGCTGGGCACAGCGGTGTAGTGTGTGCCCATGGTCCTTGCACTGGGAGGGGCTGGGTGTGCAGACCGCTTGAGTCAGGGATCAGCTTGGACAACACTTTCACAATGTACATGAGATGGCTCAGTGACAAGGTTCTTGCCACTAAGCCTGATGGCCTGAGTTTGGTCCCTGAGACCCACGTGACAGATGGAGAGAACTGACCCCAGCAAGTTGTACTCTGACCTTCATTCAGACACAGTGAAACGCACAAGCATTTACACACACACACACACACACACACACGCACACACAAAACACACCAAATAAAAAGATGTAAACAAAACAAAAATAAGAAAATTCCAAAGAGTAAAGAAAACAATATTTTGTTTTGCTCTGTTTTTTTGGTTTTGTTTTTGTTTTGGGGCAAAGAAAGCATGATGTGGTTGTGTATCCTGCAATTGGGGAAATTGCAGGGCTCAACGCAGCCCAAGTGCAATGGGTGAGCCTCGCCTTGAGAAGAATACCTTCCTGATCACAGTGTCTCCTCTACCAAGGAAGTATTAAAAAAAAAAACCACTATTTTTTTTTAATATTTATTTATTTATTATGTATACAATATTCTGTCTGTGTATATGCCTGCAGGCCAGAAGAGGCCACCAGATCCCATTACAGATGGTTGTGAGCCACCATGTGGTTGCTGGGAATTGAACTCAGGACCTTTGGAAGAGCAGTCAATGCTCTTAACCTCTGAGCCATCTCTCCAGCCCAAAGCCCACTATTTTTAAGATCGAAAACCTAGAATGAAATGCATACCTTAAAGACAGGAACTGTTGAACGTCTCCAGTGTGGTGCACACTCAGGTGTTGGGTGCCTATTGACAGACACCTTTATCCACTGAGCCACCTTGCTGGACAACTCTTGGCTATTTCTTTAAAAAAGAGATTTATTTATTTTACTTTATGCTTGTGGGTGTTTTATCTACATGCAGGTCTGTGCATCATACGTGTTCGGTGCCAGTGGAGGTCATAAGGGGTTGTCAGATCCCCTGGGGCTGGAGTTATGGACAATTTTGGGCCTCCATGTGGGGATTCTAGAAACCAGTCTTGCAGCCGTGGGTTCCACCAGAGCTGCCTGTCACTAAACCCTGAGCTATCTACCTAGCTTGTTTTTCATAACATTTGACCTATCCCAGAGGGAAATGAATGTCAGTTGGCACCTTTTGGGTAGTGACCGTGATGGTTTGGGCCAGGGAACAGGCTTGTGAGGAAGAGCAGGCTATGCTGTCCCAGAGGAAGGCTAAATAGGGCTGTGTGCTTGCCGAGCCTACGCCCTCTCTGAGTTGCTCACAGCCTTTGCCTCTTACTTCTCTATTTTTACCCCTCCTGGCTTTGTTGGCTTCCTTAATATCTGTTTGTAGTGCCTGCAACCCCACAGCTCACAGTCTTCCAGCGTCGTGGTCCTTACAGTCATGGCTTTTAAATTTCTTCTGGTAACAGGTATGTAGGGGTCCTGGGGGAGACTCAGGGTGGGGAGGAGGGGCTGGGGGTCTTCAGGGTGGGGAGGAGGGACTGGGGGTCTTCAGGGTGGGGAGGAGGAGCTGGGGTCTTCAGGGTGAGGAGGAGGAGCTGGGGTCTTCAGGGTGGGGAGGAGGAGCTGGGGGTCTTCAGGGTGAGGAGGAGGGCCTGGGGGTCTTCAGGGTCGGGAGGAGGAGCTGGGGGTCTTCAGGGTGGGAGGAGGAGTTGGGGGTCTTCAGGGTGGGAGGAGGAGTTGGGGGTCTTCAGGGTGGGGAAGAGGGGTTGGGGGTTTTCAGGGTAGGGAGAAGGGGATAGGGGGTCTCTAGAATGGGGAAGAGGGGATCTTTTGGATTCACTAGTGGAGAGAAAGGGCTGAGAATAGGAAGGAGTAGGTGGGGAAAGACAAAGGACTTTAGGGAACGTGGATTCTGGGGCTTGAACTCAGGTGTTTGCTGAGCTACCTTGCTGGACCAACTCTTGGCTTTTTCTTTTAAAAAGAGATTTACTTATTTTATTTTATGTGTGTGGATTTTTTTTCCTTCTGGGTTCTTTAAGATAGGGTTTCTCTGTGTGACAGCCTTAGCTGTCCTGGAACTCATTTTGTAGACCAGGCTGGCCTCGGACTCACAGAGATCTGCCTGCCTCTGCCTCCAAATGCTGGGATTAAAGGTGTGCACCACCACTGCCTGGTGTGTGTGTGTTTTCTGTAGACGGTGTGTGCAGTGCCAATGGATGTCAGAAAGGGACCTCATCAGGGGAGGGAGGACAGAGCATAGGAGAGTCAGGGGTCTTCAGGGTGGGGAGGAGGCAACGTGCTTTAGGGAAGGGTATGTGATTCAAGGAGAAATAAAGTGGAGGTGGCCAAGAGGGTTGGTCAGGGAAGCTTGGGTGAAGGACTAAATCCATCATCTCTGCAAGGCGGCTTATCACAGGCGAGGTTGCTGAGGCCCGGAGAGAGGAAGGGACCGGATCACAGAGGGTGTGGTCTCTACTTCCCGAGTACGTTCTCCTGGGTTCCACTCACCTTGTCTACTTAGCCTTAAGTTCTAGTTAACAAGGACCTCGTGCCAAAGTTCCCTGAACGACGCCTGCTGGATCAAAAAGCGGCTTGAGTTCTTCTTTTGTGTCTGCTTTGTAGGGGGAGAGTTAAGAAGGGAAGGAACTACTTGAGGATTACAGAGGAAGGAAATTTCTATCTGAGGCCTTTGATTGTTGTGTAAATCGTTGTGGTTGTGACAGTGCAGGAAGAGGCCGCTGTGGGCTTAGAGAGGGGCTGGTTTGCCTCAGGATGGGCTCCGATAGACCCTTGAGCTGTGAGTCAGCACGTTTGGCCTGTGGGTTAAGTGTAGCTATTACCTGTTTTGAAGAAGATCCTTTATCATTCACTGGTGACAGAGGACACTAACTTTATTCCCAGTAAAGTGATATGCCGTTCCTCAAGACTCCCATTTATCTCATGAATCAACCTGTATCACAAAAATTGTGATAACTGATGACAGTCTGCATTTCCTCCTTGGTGAAAAGGTGGTGGAGATGAGGCCCGGGACTTGCCTAGCATGTATGAAGACCTAGATTTGATCCCTGACATCAAGGAGGCTGCATACCTGTAATTCTAGCAGTGGAAGGCAGAGGCAGGAGGATCAGGGGTTCCAAATGCTCTTCAGTTACACGAGGAGTTCAGGGCCAGCCTAGGCTGTGTGAGGCCCCGTCCTGACAAGCTTTTCCTCCATTGTCTTACCATGTAGTCCTGACTGGGCTGGAACTCATTATTGAGACTAGGCTGGGCTCGAACTTGTGGCACTGCTTTTGTACTGCCTCCCCAGTGCTGGGTTCTGCTTAACTCTGGTCCTCTGTAGAAAAAAAGAACGGACGTGTGTGACGGCCCAGTCCTGCCCCCCAACGTTTGGGAGGTAGAGTTGAGGCAGGAGGATCGGGACGTCTAGGTCATCCAGAGTTTACAACACCGTAGTGTTCTAAGCTGGGGAATATACAACACCGTCTCAGAACCCCAAAAGACAAGTCCCTGCCGGGTGGACCCCGGATCTCAACTGTCAGAGTTTCGGTGGATGCAGTCAGGGAAGGTCCCCGTGGAAAGGGACGCTGTGCTCTTAGCCGTGTTGGTTCCTGTACTTTGACTCTCTGTTGTCACCTTCCAGCCTTAGCCTTATGTCATGGATTCAACCTGGACACCGAAAACCCCATGACCTTCCAAGAGAAGGCAAGAGGCTTCGGGCAGAGTGTGGTCCAGCTCGGTGACTCCAGGTAAATGCTCAGGGGAAGTCCCCTGTCTCAGTGCTTCTCTAAAAGCTAGGGAATAAAAGGTTCCTGATTGAGGTTTCTTCCTTTCCCTCTTTCCCTCTAGTCCCCTCCCTTCTTCTCTCTCCCCTTCCCTCCTCTCTTTCTTTTCTTTGCTAGGGGTAGAATCCGAGGCTTGCTGATGCCTCTACCACTGAGCTACATCCCCCTGTCCTCTTGACTGATTTTTCCATTTTTCTTTCTTGACTCTGTAGTGAGGTTTTAGAGTTCTGGATTCATGAGATCCCAGAAAGCTGAGAGCAATAATAAGTGTTCTCTCCTGCACCACCTTCCTAGGAGGGATCCTGACAACCGACTCATGGTTCTTCAGGAGACATATTTGTCTTTCTATCCCCTACCTGCTGCCCCCTCCCCACCCTCAATTGGTAGCATGAGTTATGCTAAGTTATGTTCCACTTGAACATAATACGACAATAACATGGTTATTATTGTAAATACATCAAATGAAAGACCCTCGTTTTCAAGGGCAGTGGGAGAAATCCCCTAGTCTCAATAATCCAGGCCAACAGATGCAATCAGCAAGAGGCGTCTTTATTGATTACACAGGCGCCTGTGGGTGCATCAGTAGCTTACGCCAGCTGAGCACACCGGGCAAATTCAAACAGCCATATTTATAGGGAAAAATGATTACATAAGAGGGTAGTATAGCACAAGTATTTCATTGGCTCTCAAATTGCTGGGCTTAGCTCATCCTGGGAATGACCCTATGTCTATTCTCAAATTTCCCCAAAAAACCATAAAGATAGATAAAACACCCTGCAGCCAGTTGACAATTTAGATAGGATGTCTTGGGGGGTGGAGTATTCCCTCTCCTCAGTCCCCAAAAACCACAAAGCTAGATAGAGAACTCTGCAGCAAGTTGACAATTTAGACAGAATGCCTTGAGGTGTGAAGTATCCCTCTCCTTAGCCTAGTCAGTGAGTCTGCAACTCAAAGATATCCAGTTTTAGCATCGGCTGAGCCAGGGGGCCCAGCTAAATTTCAGCAGAGTTTTAACATAGTACGTGGGCATGGGGGTCTTTCAAGTATGGGGGGTCTTTCACTAAGACATTTATGTGTGTGTATGTGTGCGTGTGCACATGTGTGTGTATATACATGCCACAGCATGCTCGTACAAAGTCAGAATTGCTTGCGGGGTTGGTTTCTCCATGTGGGCCCTAGGGATGAGCTTAGCTCACAGGGTTCGCAGCAAAGGCCTTTACCCACTGAACCATCTCTCTGCTATGAAAATTAACCTTATTGAACATGACCCCGCTCACTTGTTACTTACAGAATAGAGAGAAGTGATAAGGGGAAATAGTCTCTAAAGTTAGACATAACTTTAGAGAAATATTTGCTGGATTCATTCTGGAGAGAGTCTTTCCGGAGTGAGAAAGGGTTGGTGCCTGCTGTTGCGGAGTTGTGGGTTTGTGTGAGCAACAGCGCTGCCGTGTCCAGACACAGCTTTCCACTGCCTGTGACTCTCACGTCTTTCTACTTCCTGTGCTATGGTGATGACCTCCGGGCCTTGAGAGGAAGTACGTGGTATAGATGTCCCATTTGGAGCTGAGTGCTCCCGGTCTCTTATTCTCTATGTACGGACCGGTTGTGAGTCTTCGTATCAATCAATCAATCAATCAATCAATCAATGTAAAAGGAAGCTTCTCTGACGAGGATTGAGAGATGCACTAATCTATGGGTATAATGTTAAGTCCTTAGAAAGAACTTTAATTTTGTGTCTGCCTAGTAGATTAATAGAAGTAGATTCTCCCCTTGGGTCTATGACCTACATAGTTACATACAGGAACCTGGACCCAGTTACCAGTGCTAGGCATGAATTTCATTTTGTGGAACAGACCTTTAACACAAGCAGAAAGAGGTGGTTACTCCCTGTCTTAGGTTTCTATTGCTCTGATAAAGCATCATGGCCTAAAGCAACTTTGGAAGGAAAGGGTTTGTTTGGCTCACAAACCCTGGGTCACTGTCCCTGAGGGAGGCTGAGGCAGGAGTCTGGAGACAGGAACTTAGAGGGAGAAACTGAAGCAGAAGCCCTGGGGTAACGCAGCTCCCAAAGGCAGAGCCAAATATGGAGTTGTTTATTTCCAACAAGACAGGATGTCGGCGCCATCTTGTAATGGCGATCCTGTCCGGCTCACTACAGATGTGTGCATGCATGTGCGTATGCCCACACATGGTATAGCTGGATCTTGTGGTAGAGCTATTTCGATCTTTCTGAGGAACCTCCGCACTAATTTCCATAGTGACTGCACCAGCTGGCTCCCCCACCAACAGTGGTTTCCTCATGTCAGCATTTGCTGTAATTCTTAAAAAAAATCTTAGTCATTATGACTAGGGCAGGATGAAATCTCAAAGCAGTTTTAATTTGCATTTCCCTGATAGATAAGGATGAGGAACATTAAAAAAAATATTTTTTTCAAGAAAAGATTTTGTTTTTATTTTAATTGAGTTTGTCTGCGTGTACATCAGTGCACCATGTGCATGCAGTGCCTGCAGAGGCCAGAAGAGGGCAGAAGATCACTTGGAACCCAAGTCACAAATGCTACGGGGGGGGGGGGGCGGGGGGGGAGGGGTTGAGGGGTTGGGGGAGGTAGGGGGGGTGGCTTATTTGATAGCTCATAGTGTCTGCGAGAGGAATTGCCTCCCTCGTTGTAGGATAATTCCTTATAAATTTCATATGTATATTACATTTCTATCCTTCCAACCCTTTCCATTCTAACTTCATGTGCTCTTTCTTTAAGTCTGTTTTTAAAAATTCTCTCAAGAGATTTGCCCCATTCTTAGAAAGGGCCTTCTTGTTCTAGGGCTTACATTTTTGTCATTGCTAATTTTTCCTCCCGTCCATGGGTGTTCAGGAAGCTCGCTCCCCTATGGAAGGCAGGACGGCTTCTGTACATTCGGAGTGTTCTTTTCTACCCCGGTTCTGCAGAGTGGTTGTTACAGCCCCCCAGGAGGCAAAGGACGTTAACCAAACAGGTGGCCTCTACCAGTGTGACTACAGCACCAGCAGGTGTGAGCCCATTTCCCTGAAAGGTGAGTCTCTCCGCTCGCCCTCTGGCTCCTGGCGGGCTCTACCTGTGAACACACCTGTAACCTGTGCACCTCTGGCGGAGCAGAGAGCACCTGGCTTCCTCGCCTCCCTCGTCTATGGACCCTGCAGGCAACCCCAACCCCGCTCTGCTCCTTCTTCATAGTCTATCCCATCTCTCCCAGGCCGAATTGACTCTTTGCCGCTCTTTCGCTAAAATAATCAATATTTAAATATTTTGTGTGTGTGTGTGGTGCTTGTGACCTGTATGCTACCATGAAGGCCACAGTCAATATCAGGTGTTCTTGGTTGGGCTCTGGCTTGTTTGCATTGAGTCCAGAACTCATTGGTTTGCCTAAGTTGTCTAGGGTAGTGGATTTCTCTTCTTTTTTAAAAAAATTTTTATGTTATGTGTATGAGTATTTGCCACCATGCTTTGTACCCTATGCATATCTGGTACCCAGGGAGGTCACAAGAGAGTGTCAGAATCCCTGCAACCAGAGTTACAGACCGTTGTGAGCTGCTGTGTAGGTGCTGGGAACTGAGCCCACGTCTTAGAAGAGCAGACCATGCTCTTAACTGCTGAGTCCTCTGGTCCACGAGTTTCGAGGATGCTTCTGCCTCTGCCCCTCTAGCACTGGGGTTACGGGTGAGCGTAACCTCATCTACTTTATCACATGGGTTCTGGGGACCCAAACTCAGGGCCTCAAGGTTTCATGGCAGTGACTTTACTGACTGAGTCATCTCTCCTGTTCCCAGATAGACATAGTAGTATATGTTATACCGCATGAGAGAATTAGCTCCCTTACCCTGTCCCTCTCCCCCTCTCTCCCTTTCCTCCCCTTCTCCCACCTCTCTGCAAGGTCTCTTGTGCCGCAAACTGGCCTTAAATTGGCCATGTAGCTGTTGATGACCTTAAACTTCTGCTCCTCCTGCTTCACCCTTGAGTGTGGCAACACAGTGGCCTTATGCTCTGTGCATGCTGGGCCACACTGTACCACAGGGTCACACCCCCTTGCCTGAAACTGGGTTTCATTACAATAGTTTCTTTTTTATCCTTTTTTTTATTTTCAAAGATTTATTTATTATGTATATCATGTTCTGCCTGCATATATGCTTGCATGCCAGAAGAGGGCACCATATCTCACTGCAGATGGTTGTGAACCACCTTGTGGTTGCTGGGGATTGAACTCAGGGCCTCTGGAAGAACAGCCTGTGCTCTTCACTTCTGAGCCATCTCTCCACCCCTATTTTTTATTTTTGAGACCAGGTTTTGCTGTGTATCCCTGGCTAGCCTGGAACTTACTATGTAGACCAGGTTGGCCTCCAATGTACAGAGATCTTCCTGTCCTCTGCCTTCCCATTACTGGGTTTAAAGTTGCCTGGCTGACATTTTCATACATGTGTATAATATAATTCAATCTTCCTGTGGGCCTTACCCCCTGCCTCTTCCTGCTGCCTATATTCCCAGGAGTGCCCCCCACTTTAATCTTATCTTACTTAACTCTATCCACTTCTAGGCAAATGACATAATTTCATTCTTTGTGACTGGAGAGCCTCCATTGTGTAGATGGCATCATCTTTATCCAGTCATTTATTGACCGGCTTCTGAGCTCAGTTATTGTAAGACCGTGAATGTGGTGTGTACCCTGTCATGCCCCTGCTTCACTGCTTCACTGTAGCAAGCTTTTTTGTCAGCCATCAGCTCACAAATAATGACAGGGAAACTTATTACTTATGAAAGCTTGGCCTTTAGCTTAGACTTATCTCAACTAGCTCTTAACTCAAATCAACCCATTTATATTAATCTCGTTACCTCTCTTCTGTCTTGTATCTCCTGCTCCCTCTCCTGGTCTCTGGCAACTCCACTTTCTTCTTCCCAGAGCTCTCTCTGCCGAGAAGTCCCGCCTATACCTCTTGCCTAGCTATTGGCCATTCAGCTTTTAATGACACCAATCACAGTAATATATCATTACACAGTGTGCAAATATCCCTCAACATTTCACAACTGCTCTTATCCCTGAGGACGACCTTGCATGTGTCTCTCTTCCCAGTGCCCCCAGAGGCTGTGAACATGTCCTTGGGTTTGTCCCTGGCTGCCTCTACAGACCCCTCCCAGCTGCTGGTGAGTTGCCCTGGATAGGAAGGGAGGAGTGGGAGACCCGGGGATGCTGGGGTGCAGGTCCTGTGGAGGGTGGAGGTGCTACCATGGCAGGACAGGAGGCAGGGGCAGCCCCTTTACCAGCTCTTTGCCCCTCAGGCCTGCGGCCCCACTGTGCAACAAACATGCAAGGAGAACACTTATGTTAAAGGGATGTGCTTCCTGTTCGGCTCCAACCTGATGCGGCCGCCCCAGCAGTTCCCAGAGGCTCTCAGAGGTACGTCATTTAGGATGGGAGGCAGGGTTGAGAATGGTTTTCAGGCTGCTTTAGAATCAACATCTCCTTACCTCAGCCGTATTCTAGTTCTTTGAAAGAAGCTTAAAACCAAAACCCAGCTCCTGTACCTGTAACCCTATCACGGGAGAAGGAGAAGTGAGGAACAGATGTTCAAGGTCACCTTTAGCCACTTAGTGAGTTTGAGGCTAGCCTGGCCTACGTGAGACTCTGTCTTAACTGACAAAACAAAACTAACAGTGCTTCTCATACTGAAGAAGAGGAGGCTGTCTCAGTCAGTGCTCTGTTGCTGTGAGAGACACCATGACCAAGGCAACTTATAAAGAAAGCGTTTAACTGAGGGCCGACTCACAGTTTAGAGGGTCAGTCCGTTGTCATCACGACAGGGCACATGGCGGCATGCAGGCAGACATGGTTCTGGAGAAGTTACTGAGAGCTACATCATGATCAACTAGTTGAGAGAGAGAGACTCGGGTTGGCAGGAGCTTTGCAAATCTCAAAGCCCACCCCCTGTGACACACTTCCTCCAACAAGGCCACACCTCCCACTCTTTCAAATAGCACCACACCCTGGTGATCAACCATTCAACTCTGTGAACCCCTGGGGGGCCATTCTCATTCAAACCAACATAGGGACTATTCAAGTGTATTATTGTCAGAGGGTAGGGATGGTATCATTGGTTTTGGCTGATTGATCAGTTACACTACTTTTTCTGCAAACCTTGGTACTCTGTGAAATATAATCTATTTTACTGGTAAGGCTTTCTACTGAGGTTTTTTTTGAAGTTTTTATTTCATCATCATTTGTTTCTTTTTATTTAATATTTCCTTTTTGGATTCCTTTTCCATATCTAGAATTTAGTTTTCTTATTTCATTCAGCTATTTGTGCTCTCTTTGAAACCATTCAGGCGTTTATCCATGTTGTCTTTGAAATCCACAGACATATTTGTGACCATTTTTCAAATTCTCTGTTTATAATTTCATCACAGTGACTCTCATCAGAGGCCATCACTGTTTAGTGTACCAGGCTTTTTCTTTTGGGCCACCAGCCAGCTCCCAAATCATGACATGGGGACTTCTTATTAGTTATGAATGCTCAATCTTATCTTATGCTTGTCCCACTAGCTCATGTAACTTAATCTGTCTCTCTTCATCTATGTTTTGCCATGAGGATTTTTCTCCCTCCCTCCTTCCTTCCCTCCTTCCTTCCTTCCTCCTTCCTTCCTTCCTTCCTCCTTCCTTCCCTCCCTCCCTCCCTTCTTCCCTCCCTCCCTCCCTCCCTCCCTCCCTCCCTCCCTCCTTCCCTCCCTCCCTCCCTTCTTCCCTCCCTCCCTCCTTCCTTCCCTCCCTCTCTCCCTCCCTCCCTCCTTCCCTCCCTCCCTCCCTCCTTCCTTCCTTTCTTCCTTTCTTTCTTCTTTCTGTAGATCTTACTTTCACTGCTTCTCCTGTGTAATTAGCCTAGCTTCTGGCCCTGGGCGTGTCCCTCTCTTTCTTCCTCCTTCTCTCCTCCTTCTCTCTTGAGCCCAGATTTCTTCTCCTACATGTATGGTAGTGAGCTGGGTGCTGGATGCCATGGTGTCAATGGCTCTGACTTCAGGAGTCTGGGTCTGCACTGTGTGGAGGGGCCAGCGTTTCACAGACGTCAGGAGCAGGGTTTCATGCAGCCTTTGACCTTGGGAGTTGGAGCTTGCGTGCTTTGTGCAGTCAGGCTGTCTTAGTGAGGGTTTCTATTGCTGTGAAGAGACACCATGACCACAGCGACTCTTACAAAGAAAACATTTAATTGTGGCTGGCTTACTGTTTCAGAGGTCGAGTTCTTTATCATTATTATAGTGGGACATGGCGGCACACAGGCAGACATGGTGCTGGAGAAGGAGCTGAGGATTGTACATCTTGATCCGCAGGCAGCAGAAGCAGCTGTGTGCCACACTGGGCAGTAGCTTGAGCACAGGGAACCTCCAAGCCCACCCCACAGTGACACACTTCCTCCAACAAGGCCAGGCTCACTCCAACAAAGCCACACCTCCTAATGGTGCCACTCCCTGTGGACCAAGTATTCAACTCATGAGTCTATGAGTCTGTGGGGTCCATACCTATTCAAAGCACCATACAGGTGTCATGGTAGGAACAAGATTTCATGTGCCCTGTAACAGGCTTTCTTTTGAGCCACCAGCTAGCTCCCAAATCACGACACAGAGATTTGTTTATTAGTTAGGAATGTTCGGCCTTATCTTAGCTCTTGTTTTAATCTGTTTTTTTTCATTTATGGTTTGCTTCAGAGTTTTTTTTTTTTAACCTTTCTTTCCTTCAGTATGTCTTACTTTCCTGTTTCCTCCATGTCTGACTGTCTGGCAGCTGCCTGGCTGGCCTTAAGGGTTTTCCTCTTTTCCCCTCTCATTCTTTGAGCCTAGATTTCTCCTCCTACTTACTCTCTCTGCCGGCCAGTCCCGCCTATTCCTCTATTGCCTAGCTATTGGCTGGTCAGCTTTTCATTAGACCAATCAGGTGCCTTAGGCAGGCAAGGTGAAATAGCAATACATCTTTACATAATTAAACAAATGCAGCATAAACAATGTAACACATATTTATATAGTTAAAGTAATATTCTGCAACAGTGCCCTCTGACCTTAGGAGTCAGAATCCATGCATTTCTGCAGGCCTCAGAGTACTGGGGTTACCAGACTCAGCATGTGCCCCAACAAGCCAGGTTCACCCACCTGCCCTCAATAAGCCTGTTTAAATACAGCTGAATTAATAGTGAAAAATAGAAAAAGAAAATTTATTCAATGTGGCCACATTATGGAAGAGGGACAAAGAGATTCAGTGACCCCCCCCCCCCAGCCTGTCTTTGGTGGGGGTCCTGAAATAAGCACGAGCTGGGTGTAACTAAGCAGTCTGGCCAGGGTGTGGTCCCTACCCACCATTGTCTCCCTTATCTCTCTGTCCAGAGCCCAGTTCCTCCTCAGGCAGGCAATCCTATGACTGCCCTAGGGCTTCAACCACTTCTTCTAGTGAGAGTCTAATTTTATGGGATCTATCCTTTCCACGGTTTGACAGTCAAAGAGGGGAATTTAACCTACAGGCCAGCTCTACTGGGGCTTCTGAAGAACCTGGGTCCATGTGGTCCTTGCCCACTGGGTACCAAGGGTGAGTTACTGATGAGAGCAGCCAGGGTCTGCAGAGTGTGCAGGTCCAAGGGTGTGTGTGGGGGCAGAGTTGGCATGACCTCTGACCTCAGGAGCTGGAGTCCTCATGGTGTGTGGGCACTGGATGCCCCGTGTGTTTTGCTTGGTCTGTGACCTCAGAAGCAGGTGCACAGGTTCCTTGCATGGATCCAGTTCTTAGTGTGGGGATTCACAGGGCTTTCACCCTCAGGATCTAGGATTTGCAGTGTCCCGGGAGTGAGGCGCAGGGTACCTGCGGAGGGTGTTGTGTGGCTTCTGACTTCAGAAGCCAGTACGCATGAGGTCGTCCTGGCAGTTGCTTTTGAGCAGGGGATCCTCTCGGTAGCGGTCCCTGTCCAGCCCTGAAGTAAGTTTTCATTTTCCAAGTGCCACAGAATACACATTGCCTTCCAAAATGAAGGGGTGAGCACACAGCGAGCAAATACTGGATCGAAGCAAGACTGGACTCCATAAGGGCAAACACCGAATCCTGCAGCTCCATGTCCAGGGTTCAAAGGGCTTAGATGACCTGCCCCTCGGGATTTGCCAACTACTGAACATATCTCTGTCTCAGCCTGGTTCCACTCCCTGTATGCGGCTTTCCTACATCTCTGTCTCAGCCTGGTTCCACTCCCTGTATGCAGCATTTCCTACATCTCTGTCCTAGCCTGGTTCCACTCCCTGTATGCAGTTTTCCTACATCTCTGTCCTAGCCTGGTTCCACTCCCTGTATGCAGCTTTTCTTGGCAGATGCCTCATGGTTTGGGCATTTCCAACATCCTGGGGGCTCCACTGCATCCTAGGCTTCACTTTTATAAAGCCACAGAATGACTTCTCAGGGCTTTCATGTAGAGACTCCCTGACACATGCTGCTGGCCTTGGCAGCACTCCTAAACATCAGATGTAAAATCCACGACCCCTTTACTCTGGCATCCTTCAGCCTCCAATGCTAACACTGTTAGGATGACACAGTCTGACTGCCAGCTTGAGCTAGACCCTCATTCCTTGATTGCATTTACTCAGTTGCTTTCTCTTGCCCAAGTTGGAAGCTTAGCTGGTGGGGTCTGGCCCTGAGAACACCCTGCCCTTTGTTCCAGAGTGGAGCAGGCCTCTTTAATGGTGCCAAACCCCTTAACAGTTACAGCCTCTCCAGAACAAATCTTGGCTGTAGTGTAACAGGAGGAGTGGGCTGCTTGTCATCCTGGCCGCCCTGCTAGCTTACACATGAAATAACCACACAGAAACTGTATTTATTAAAACACTGCCTGGCCCATTAGCTCTAACTTCTTATTGGCTAATTCTTACATCTTAATTTAACCGATTTCTATTAATCTATGCATTGCTATGTGACTGTGGCTTACTGGCAAGATTCTAACCAGCGTCCGTCTCAGGTAGGAGACCCATGGCGTCTGCCACTCTGCCCTTCTTCCGAGCATTCAGTTCTGTCTTCTCTGCCTACCTAAGTTCTACCCTATCAACTAGGCCAAGGCGGTTTCTTTAAGCAACACACAGACAGAAGGACCTCCTACACCACCATAGCTCCAAGCTTCCCAGTGTTCTGTCACTCTTCAAACTGTACATTCTGATTTCTCTCTGTCCCACTTGCTCTTTTCCCATTGTAGACCCGCATAAACATTATCAATAATAGCCATGCTATAGACGCAACACTGTGACTTGAAATTTCCTTCACCAAAGAAATTAGTCCATTACTTTTAGTTTCAGACAAGTTCTTCTTCTTTTTTTTAAATTTATTTTTACTTTATGTGCATTGGTGTTTTGTCTACATGGATGCCTGTGTGAGGGTGTCAGGTCCCCTGGAACTGTAGTTACAGATAGATGTGAGCTGCTGTGGTTGCTGGGAATTGAACCTGGGTACCTGGGAGAACAGTCAGTGCTCTTAATCACTGAGCCATCTCTCTAGCCTCTCGGCAAGTTCTGAAGACATGGGCATGGTCTCTGCCCCAGTTGCTAACATTGTCTGAAAAGGCTAGGTGACCACCTTCTGTGTCCAGGTGCAAACTGTGGCCTGAAAGTCTGGCCGCCATACAGTGTAGAAATATGGGCCAGTATAATATGGTCCTACAGACATCTGTCCATATTTTATTCTCCTTGGTACAAATTCAGATTTTTTTTAACTCCCCTCCCTCATTTCCCAACTGAGAGCTGACATTCAAAGATGACATTTCTAATGACTTAACTAATTTGTATTCTTTTTTCCTCTTGCCTAGAATGTCCTCAGCAGGAGAGTGACATTGCCTTCTTGATTGATGGCTCTGGTAGCATCCACCCCACAGACTTTCAGAAGATGAAAGAGTTTGTCTATACTGTGATGGAGCAGTTCACAAAGTCGAAAACCTTGGTGAGGGCTGGTGGGTAGCCCTCCGTAAGGCTGACAAATTTGTGACTACCAGGCTGTTCGATTGATAAAAATGTGGGATTTGGCAAACGGACAATTTTTATTACTTCATCATGCTCTTTTCTCCTGTGTGTGGGAGACCTGTTTCAACAAGTATACCACTTACTGGAGTAGGGGCACAGGGATCAGAAAGAGAGAGAGAGAGAGAGAGAGAGAGGACACGAGTGAAAATAATAAAAAAGAAGCATAGGATGGCACCAGGAATGAGTTCCAGTGAATGTGAAATCACCCCTGTTTAATTTTTCCACACACTCTTGTGCCCCAATACAAAGGGGAGAGAAGGCAAAAGGCGCTTTAACATGATACAAAGGACAACTAGAATAGTTAATTGCTTCAATACTTTGAGATGTCAAGCGATTAACTAGTGAGAAAAGCATTCTGTTGTTTAGGCAGCGAACCCACCCTAGACCAAGTATCCTGAAGGCAGTCATTCCCTAGGTCAAACCTCTTAATTCAAAAAGAGCGGAAGTATGCTAGAATTCTTTGAACTTAGGTCAGGGTGGAGTGGATCTACCTGTTTGAGCCATCTTAAAGTACAAAACACCAAGCAACCACACCCTAGGTTAGGGTGTGTAGCAACATTTACCAACAACTGTGAGCCAGCTAAAACTCTCTGACCTTCAGACAAGGTGGAAATAGGCTCACATTTTTTGGCTTCCACATCCGTGCTTGTTGCAATCTTAGCATTCCTTTGGCTCCCACCAAGTAGGTGGCCGTGATTAATATGAGGGGATGAAACACACATGCCATTCTTTCTCTCTCCTATTTATTTATTTATTTATTTATTTATTTATTTATTTTTGGTTTTTCGAGACAGGGTTTCTCTGTGGCTTTGGAGCCTGTCCTGGAACTAGCTCTGTAGACCAGGCTGGTCTCAAACTCACAGAGATCCACCTGCCTCTGCCTCCCGACCGAGTGCTGGGATTAAAGGCGTGCGCCGCCATCGCCCGGCTTCTCTCTTTTTAAAAAGGATTTATTTATTATATATAGAGCTCTGCCTGTATGTGTCCCTGCAGGCCAGAAGAGGGCACCAGATCCCATTTAGGGTGCTTGTGAGCCACCATGTGGATGCTGGGAATTGAATTCAGGACTTTTGGAAGAGCAGGCAGTGCTCTTAACCTCTGATCCATCTTACCCCAAAGAAGAGGTTTTTGTTTCTTCTTCTTCTTCTTCTTCTTCTTCTTCTTCTTCTTCTTCTTCTTCTTCTTCTTCTTCTTCTTCTTCTCCTTCTTCTCCTCCTCCTCCTCCTCCTCCTCCTCCTCCTCCTCCTCCTCCTCTTCTTCTTCTTTATTTTGTTTTCCGAGACAGGGTTGCTCTGTGTAGCTTTGGAGCCTGTCCTGGCACTGTCTCCCCTCCGCCCCCAACACTGGGATTAAAGGCACACATCACCACCGCCCGGCCACACGTCATTCTTGCTGAGCTCAGATGTGTACAGTCCTTGTTGAGGTGGGGAGGGAAGACAGTCACTTTCTCTGCTGTAACACCGGCTGTCCTGTTCCTAGTTCTCTTTGATGCAGTACTCTGATGAATTCCGGACTCACTTTAACTTCGATGCTTTCAAGAAAAATCCTAACCCAAGAACACATGTGAACCCCATCAGGCAGCTGAATGGAAAGACAAAAACCGCCTCAGGAATCCGCAAAGTAGTGTGAGTCCCTCCATCTTTGCTTTTGATCGAAGGAGACAATGACACTTGTAGCTGGATGGTGAAGGATCGGAAGACTTGCTCAGACAGGGGTGAGGTGAAGCATTTCCAGAGGGCGAAACTATTTGAAGAACGTTTATGTAAACACAGGTTGCAGTTAAAATTAACAATTAAAAGAGGCCCCAAGAACATGGCTGAAAAGATGGGTTGAGCCTGTTCTGGGTATGTGGTTTTGGGCAGAGTGCTGGCCCAATCAGTGGGAGGTTCTGGGATTAATCCTCAACACCATAAGAAAATGAAAAAACAAACCAAAAAAACCAAAAGACAAAATAACACCAGATTGAATCCAAGTTGTCACCAAAGGCCACTTTATAGTCCGTGTGGAACCACTGATGGTTTTAAGCAGGAGGGAGGCTTCTGTCTTTTTTGTTTTTAAGATTGCTCTGCTTTGGGCTGGAGAGATGGCTCAGTGGTTAAGAGTACTGACTGCTCTTCCAGAGGTCATGAGTTCAATTCCCAGCAACCACATTATGGCTCACAACCATCTGTAATGAGATCTGCTGCCCTTTTCTGGTGTGTGGGTATACATAATAAATAAATAAATCTTAAAAAAAAAGAAAAAAAAAGATTGCTCTGCTTTTGGTGTACAGAGGGGAGTGCAGGGTTGGCAGAGTGTGAGAAGATGAAATCAGGGGACATAGCGACATAGCTCAGTTAATAAAGGACTTGTAATGCAGAGACCAGAGTTCTGTCCCCAGAACCCAATAGAAAAGCCAGACTTGCTGGAAATTCACTTCTAATCCTACTGCCAGGGAGGGAGGCATAGAAAGGAGGACCCTGGCACTTGCTAGCTGCTCAGCCTAGTGAATAAGCTCCAGGCAGTAAGAGACCCGGGCTCGAAGCAAGGTAGACAGCTGTTGAGCTGTGACATCCTGTCCCCAAACCACATTCTCTCTTCTGCCCTCCCTCCCTTCCCACCTCTCTCTCATACACACAACGGTAGGAAAATGTCCTGGAAAACATAATATTCGGGGTAAGATTTAATGATAGAGCCAGGCGGTCTTATTTCTTTATATTTTTTTTTCTATATTTAACAGTAATGAGGAATTTGCCTGTGGTGGTGTGTAGCTATAATTCAGGAGATAGAGGCAAGGGGACCACCAATTTGAGGCCCAGCCAGACTCTGTGTTCAGAACATAAAAACAAATCCAGTCAAACTCAGGGGAGACAGCCTCACCTAGACAGCCAGAGCTTGGCTGTACCTGTGACTGTTGTCAGTTCATGCTGGGTGCCAACGACACTTCCGTCTGCTTGTGTCTCTGTCATTCTTTTCTCTGCACAGGAGAGAACTGTTTCAGAAAACTTCTGGGGCTCGGGAGAATGCCGTGAAGATTCTAGTTGTCATCACAGATGGAGAAAAATACGGCGATCCCTTGAATTATGAGGATGTCATCCCTGAGGCAGACAGAGCAGGGGTCATTCGCTATGTCATTGGGGTAGGAAATGGAGAGATTGGGCCTGGTACTTCTGTGGAGATTTTCTACCAGTGTGTCCTATCTTCAATTTGCAGATATTGGTCAAATTAAATTAGGGGGGCAAGGGCCATTGCTAGGCCACACACAGTGCTACCACATATCCACGCCACAATAACGCTATATATATCATGAATGATCTCAAAGTCAAGGGCTTAATATTTTTGGTTGTGAGCCTAGCCCTTAATGACTGGGCCACCTCACCAGCCCTCAGTGGCTTAATATAAGTCCATTTGTAATTTGGCCAGATTGTTTTCCTGCTCTCAGCAAGGCTCACTTAGATTTGCTGTTAGCTGCAGGCTGGCGGGCAGATCTGCTGACCTTGCCTTTGCTTTCTCCACTTCCGGATGAGAGTTGTGCTTGTCTGCTGGGCGGATGGCCTTGCTGGAAACAAGTTGGGTAGTTTGGCTCTTCTGCTCCCTGGGTCTCATCGCCAGTGGCCTCACCTGGGGATGCCCTTGGGCTCGGGGCAGAGGAGAAAGGAAGTAGATGCTGCAGGCGCGGTTACTAGCTTCTATCAGCCCCCGCGTCTGGTAACTGTCATGGACTGGCCCAGAGACAGCGAGCGGGGCAGGCTATTTCAAGAGTGAGCGGGTGTGGCAAAATCTGGGAAATAGACCTGGGTACAGAAAGAGGTAAAGTGTTAGGGCCGCCGGGGTCGTCACAGTTGCACGCCACAGGAAAAGGCATGAATTCACAGTGCGGCGTGTAAGAAGGACCTTCATGTATAAAATGGATTCCCTTGGGGCTGGAAGGATGGTGCAGGAGGAGTACTTACTGCTTTTCTAGAAGACCAGTACTCAGGTCAGGGGCTCCTAACACTTGTAACCCCAGCAGCTGCAAGGGATCTGACATCTCTGGCCTTGAGCATTTATGTACATGGACACACACACACACAGACAGAGAGAGAAAGAGAGAGGAGAGAGAGAGAGAGAGAGAGAGAGAGAGAGAGAGAGAATTAAAAGCAAAATAATTTTAAAAAGGATTCTCTTTTGCCGGGGAGATGTCAGCCCCCTACCAGGAGGGATGGCTCTTTCTGGTGAACTCTTTATTTGATAGAAGTTTCAGATTCTTTCATCTAGGATTTTCTTTGCTGAATGATACAGCTACCATCAGAGAATAAATAATTCGGCTTCTACTCTTTGGTAACAGGTGGGGAATGCCTTCACCGGTAGGAAATCCCGCCAAGAGCTTGATACCATTGCTTCTAAGCCAGCTGGAGATCACGTGTTCCAAGTGGACAACTTTGAAGCCCTGAAGACCATTCAGAACCAGCTCCAGGAGAAGATCTTCGCCATTGAGGGTGAGCCAGCCCAGCGCAGCCCAGCGGTTCCCACTTAGCGTTCTCACGCCAGCATCAGCTCTCCCATCACGCGGGTCTGACTTGCTCCATTCCTTTGAATGTCTCCACCGCCTGGAACAGTGTGTTGTACACAGAAAGCATCTATTAAATATTTATCGAATACATTTACAAATTAGAGAATTTCTTTTTTTTTTTTTGAGGGATATGCTGTTGAGATAGTCTCACCTCGTAGCCCACGATGACCCTGAACTCTTGGTCATCCTCTTGCCTCAGCCTCTTGAGTGCTGGGACCACAAGCATGTGCTACAACTCTTAACCAAATTTGGGCATTTCATATATAATCTGGATGGATGACGTCTGGGAAAAGTTAGATACCTTGAGAACCCCATTCTTCCTTGAGGAAGAGAAGGTCGCTGAAGGCCCGCCATCCTCGCAAGCTGTGCATGTTCAATGTGGGAGCCTCCCTTTGTCTGGCCATGACAGCACTTGGGGTTTTGGGTATTTGGTCTATGCTTCTCTGCTTGCTTTCATGTAGAATGTCTTCTTCCCTGCAGGCACTCAGACAGGAAGTACCAGCTCTTTTGAGCATGAGATGTCTCAAGAAGGCTTCAGTGCCGCCATCACCTCTGTGAGTGCTCCTACAATAAACTAGGGGTGAAGAGGGGGGCACAAAGAAGGAAGAGGTGCAAGGGTTGGGGGCTTTTCTCCATGGCACGTTCTCCAGAGGAGGTTTTTTTTTTTTTTTTTTTTTTTTTTTTTTTTTTTTACGGGCATCTCTGGTTCTTTCTTTCTCCCTCAGTCCTGTTATGTTCCTTTCCTCAGAATGGTCCCTTGCTGGGCTCTGTGGGGAGCTTTGACTGGGCAGGTGGAGCCTTTCTGTACACATCACAGAATAAAGCCACCTTCGTCAACACAACCAGAGTGGATTCAGATATGAATGATGCTTACTTGGGTAAGTGAGGAGGGCAGGGGTTGTTCTAGGAAGGGATCGAGATGTGATGTCACTCCACTGACATGCGTACTTTTGGATCTTTTGTTGGCTTTTGGGATAGATGTAGAGATTTTTTTTTTAAGAATCTAAATTTAATTTTGGTTATGTGCATAATAGTGGTCCCAGCACATCAGGCCTAGGGCTGCTCTGCTGTCCTACTTAGGAATGGGCCTGCACTGTGAAAGGAGGGCCAGGTCTGCACCGGAAAACACTTTGTCTATTACAAACATTCTTCTTAGGTTATTCTTCTGCGGTCATCATGAGGAGCCGGGTCCAAAGCTTGCTTTTAGGGGCACCTCGATATCAGCATACTGGTCTGGTGGTGATGTTCAGACAGAATTTCGGTGCCTGGGAGCCTCAGGCTGATATCAAGGGCAGCCAGGTAAGTGTAGAGTGTGTGAAACATAAAGACACAGAGGCCCCTGGAACTGGGATTCTAGGGTGGACCAGTGCCGCGTGTGGCATCTTTGGAGGGCGCCATGTTAGAGAGTCCCAGGTCAGCTTTGTGTCTGAGAATGTCATGTCTTTGGCCTTTCTTTTCTTTTTTTTTCTTTTTTTTATTTATTTTTTATTTTTATTTTTTTGTTTTTCGAGACAGGGTTTCTCTGTAGCTTTGGAGCCTGTCCTGGAACTTGCTCTTGCAGACCAGGCTGGCCTCGAACTCACAAAGATCCGCCTGCCTCTGCCTCCCGAGTGCTGGCATTAAAGGCATGCGCCACCACTGACCAGCCAAATAATTGTTCTCGTGTCTGGCAGCTGCCTGGCTTCTGGCCCCGGGTGTCTCCCTCATTCCCTCCTCTTCCTCTCATTTCTTCTCCCCTTGAGCCTAGATTTCTGCTCCTCTTTATTCTCTCCCCTCTCTAGCCCTGCCCTCTCTTTCTCTGCCTAGCTGTTAGCTGCTCATCCCTTTCATAATTAAATAAATGCAGCACAAACAAATGCAACACATAACACATCTTTGCCTAGTTGAAATAATATTCCACAACACATAACACATCTTTGCCTAGTTGAAATAATATTCCACAACACATAACACATATTTGCCTAGTTGAAATAATATTCCACAACAAATGACCCTTGAGGTTGACCTCTGGCTGTCACACACATACACACACACAGACACACACACAGACACACACACACAGACATACACACAGACACACACACAGACACACACACAGGCACACACAGACACACACACCGACACACACAGACACACACAGACACACACACCGACACACACAGACACACACACAGACACACACACAGACACACACACACAGACACACACACACAGACACACACACAGACACACACACAGACACACACACAGACACACACACAGACACACACACTCATGGGCACCCACATATTACTGAAGTAATTCCATATCTGTTGATACATAGCTGTTTCTCTAAGATGCTTCAGATGGACAAACTGATGTCAAAGTTCATGGGGAAATGTGAGAGACCCCGAATAACCCAAACAATCCTGAAAAAGGAGAGCACTTCCCAATCCTGAGTTTACAGACCAGGTATGGTAGTGCATGCAGAAAATCTTAGTATGCAGCAGGATGAGGCAGGAGAGTTGCAAGTTTGAGGTCAGGTTAGGTTACACAGTGGGTGCTAGGCTAACTTGGACTGTATTGTTTGAGACTCACTCTCAAAACCAAAAGAAAATAACAGCAAAACCAACTACACAACCCCAATGTCCAAATAGATAGGGATAAAAAGCAGGTCAGGAGTTGCCAGTGGATGAAGTGGGGTTGACGCTGGGGTCTAATCAACACAAGGTTTCTTTCTGGGGACAGTGCTACAGATTTAGAGCCCATGGTTACAAAACAAGAATATACTAAACACTACTGGTTTTTGCACTTTAAAACAGAGAATTTATGTTATGTGAACTTTCTCACTGAAAGTGCTATTTTGAAAAACCTCAATGTAATAATTCATTGTAAACAGGCTGTAAGAGCTGTGTACTCACCCAAGTAGAGCCAGAAATAGAAGCTGGCCCACCCCGACATCTTTTCACATTGAAAACTCCCGGTGGCACGCGGGCTAAAGGGTATGTCCCCAACTTGAAAGGGGTCAGTTACAAAGTCTCCAGCCAGCCTTATGCTTAAAAGTTTAAAATGTTTCCATCTTAAAATCGTAAACAAGTGACTGCCACTCCTACTATTTCTTTTTTTCAAGTACTCAAGTGTATTGTTGAGATATTGATCAAATTAAAATCATCTTCCTCTCAGCAGTGCCCAGAGCTGATTTTAGATCTAGTCAAGTTGACAACTGAGGTTTTTTTTTGTTTTTGTTGTCTGCATTTTGGGGTCTAATATAAAAAGCAGCCCTGCTCATATCAAGGTCCTCAAGTGTTCCTTTGTTTTCTTCTAGTAATTTCATAGTTTAGGCATTATGTTTAGGTCTTCAGTATGTTTAGACTCAAATGGGATAGGGGTCTAGTTGCATTCTCCTGCCCATAAATAGTTCCCCAAGTGATAACATTTATCAAACAGATATTCATGTATGTCCTTGGGGCCTATGTTGAAAATCTGTTACCCATGAGAATGTGGATTTCTGGCTTCTGCATCCACCCACCTGGCTTATTCTTATTTATATTCTGATGCCATGTTGCTTTGATTATAGCAAATCCCCCCATATATGTAGGTGGAAGTTTCTGTCCCACCAACAACTCCCAAATAAACACACTGAGACTTAATATTACCTATAGATGCTTGGCCAATAGCTCAGACTTATTACTAACAAGCTCTTACAACTTAACTCATTTCTGTTAATCTGTGTGCTGTCCCGACGCTTGTGACTTTTACCTTTATCCCATTTTGTGTGCCTGATTCATTCTCTGTGTGGCTTGCGCTCTCTGACTCCACCCTTCCTCATCCCATCATTCTCAGCTTGGCTTTCCCACCTAACTTTATCCTCTTCAGCTAGTGGCCAGCTATTCACACAGTGTTGGAAGGATTATTCCACAGGATCTTGCTATTCAGCCTGGCTTGTCCTTGACAATGATCTTCTTGTCTCACGTGTCCCCAGAGGTGTGACTCTAGGTGTGTGCCCCTGCTCCCAAGTATGGGCAGGCTTACATACTGTACCACCTTCATCTTTCTTCCTTTAGCTCAAGACTGTTTGAATATTTGGGGATTCTTTTGACTTTCTATGAATTTTAGAATTTATAAGGATATATTTAGTTAAAACTGCCATTTTATTTCAATGCAGACTAATTCTTCTAATTCATAAACATGGGATTTTTTCATTTTTATATTCTTTTCAATCTCTTCTCAATATTTTATATTTTTCATTCTAAAGAGGCTCCATTCTGTGGTTAAAATCATTCCTAGGGTTTTTTTTTTTTTTGAGATAAGGTCAAGTAGCCCAGGTTGGCTTGGCTTTGAACTTTCTATGTAGCTGACAGTGGCCTTGAACTTCTTATCTTCTTGCCTCTTCCAAGTGTACCACCACCCCACTTACATGATGTTGGACTTTCTCCATGCTATTAAGGGAACACTTTCTCTTCTGAGCTGTATCTACAGACTTTTGTTAATTTTCTTTTTTTTTTAAAGATTTTTATTTATTATGTATATAGGTTTCTTCCTTCATGTATCCTGCAGTACAGAAGAGGACACCAGATCTTATTACAGATGGTTGTGAGCCACCATGTGGTTGCTGGGAATTGAACTCAGGACCTCTGGAAGAGCAGTCAGTGCTCTTAACCTCTGAGCCATCTCTCCAGCCACCAATTTTCTTTTTTTTTTATATTAAATATGTGTGCTTTTGTGAATGTGTTCAGGGGCCCATGGATACCATGGGTTCTAGGAGATACCCTGGGACATTACAGGTGGGAGTTACAGGTGGTTGAGAATTGTCCCATGTGGGTGATGGGAACTGAACTCAGGTCCTCTGGAAGAGCAGCAGGTGCTTTTAACTGCTGAGCCCTAGACCTATTGTTTTTTATAGCTGTTGTAAATGGTGTTACTTTCTTCGCAATTGTTTTCAGATGGTTCACTATTGGTACCCAGCTTTTTGTATTGTTTTTGTATGTGGATTCTGTGACTTTTAACTTTACTAAGTTATATGCTCCAATGGTATTTCTGATAGAACCTAAAAAAAGTCTGTAAGTTTTGCTTTCTCCTGTCCTGTCTAGTTGCCCTAACTTCTGTCTCTTGCTTAATTTCTCTGCCTAGGGTTCCTACTGTGTTGAGCAACAGTGCTGCTCAGATCTTACAGGAAACAGTTTGTTTTTTATCGTTCAGGGTGGTGTTTGCTCTCGGTGTGTCATAGATTATGTAGTATGTGTGTGTGTGCATGCATGTGTGTGTGTATGTGTGTATGTGTCAACTGGCTCTGTAGACCAGGCTGGCCTTGAACTGCCTCCGCCTCCCGAGTGTGAATCACCACTGCCTGTCAACATATACTTTTATAACTAATTTATTTAGAATTTTATTATGAAGAAATGTTGAATCTTATAAGATGGTTTTCTTGCATGCCCTGAAATGATCACACTTCTCCCATTTAATCTAGAGATGTGATATATTGGCTTTATTGGTAATACAATTCCCTTCACCTCCTCTCCTTCTTCCTCCCCTCCTTTTCTTTTCTTCTTTCCCCCCCTTTTTTTCTTATTCTCCATCGTTCCCTTCCTTTGCAGTATTGGGTAGCTTCATGAACACTACGCAAATACCCCACTACCTCTCACCTATGTCACCAGACCCAAGGAGTCATTTGAAAATGTGCTGTTGAGCTCATTCTGTTAACGCTTTACTTAGGGATTTTTGCAGGCTGTTTTCTTTTTGTTTCTTTTGATTTGCGCGCTTGTCTGGCTTTAGTAGCAGTGTAATTCTGACTTTATAAAATGACTTTGGAACGATTCCCTCTCTTTCACACCTGGGATACCTGTAATCCCAGCCCTTTAGACTGGAGGCTCAGGAGTTCAAGGCCAGCCTGGGTTAAATGAGACTTTCACCCTCAACTCCGATAACTGATGCTCTTTAACTCTTTTGGGACGGAGCAGCAAGCCACAGGTTTCTCTTGTTGGAAATCTTTTTCTTCTCACTGGTTCACTGGCACTCCAGATAACCGGTGTGTTCAGGCTCTGCTGCACAGGACTCTCTCCATTCTGATTCTGCCTTCAGGGTAGACTGACACAGGGCTAGCTCATCTGGCAGGAGTCTTGGCATCCTCCTTTCTCATGGTCATTGTTGGCGTGGAGTAGCTCTTTTTCCCCTCCCTTCACTTTCAAGCTATGTCCATAAATCTGCACCTATAGGTCTAATTTAGGTAGCCAGTACTGAATCTAAAAAACCCTTTCAGTCAGGCCTGGAGAGTTGGCTCATCAGTTAAGAATATTCATTGCTCTCACAGAGGACCTGGGTTT